CCCCCCCCCCCCCTTTTAATCAGAAATCATCATTTCAACAAAAGAGTAATTTTTAACTGCATTTTTGTTGTAGTTTACTTCTTGCATTAAACTAGATTAAAAATATTTAATGCAAGAAGTAAAATAAAATAATATATGTAAAAATGTAGTTGAAATGATCATAGCATGGTTACCACCTTGTTTTTCACAAAATTATTTAATTATTTTCATTAATATTCACCAATACATAGTCATACAGACAGCAACATTTACCTACATATATTTTTACCAAAACATTATGCACAAAATTGACACTGAGAATATTTTTGAGTGATAACACCCATGAACACATGAATTATTTGAAGTAGACCATTTGAACCAATTTACTTAAATTCAACTTTCCAGCTCTTTAAATCTGTCACTATTAATTATTAACACAATGTGCGACAAGGAAGAATTGTGAAATTTTTCTAAGGATGATGATGATGATGAATATTATTATTATTATTATTATTATTTTTAAAGGTCCATTAAAATGATCATGATATGCACATTAATGTAATTAAACAATTTTATACAGTATGAAATCATTGAACATTATTTGTATGTATTTGCAAGTATTTGATGTATCGCCCAGTCCTACTGTGTATTATGCTTTTCTTTGTCTCTTACCTTCTCTTCTCTTTCTTATGTATATCAAGCTATTATGTGTTCTGCTAATCTTGTTACTGTTGTTGCTTATTATTATTATTATTATGACCTTGTTGTTGTCATTTATACTTTGTCTCTTTTCTTTGCGTATTTCTCTCATTGTGTTGAATTAGTTCTGTTGCTCTGAGCGCTCTCTCCCTTTCTAACCCTGCGTTCATTTTGTTATGGCCCCGACCGCAGTCCAGGATGATGCTGCCCCAGATACCCAGGAGTACATTATGTTGCGGCAGGATTCCATCCATTCTGCGGATATAAGGGGTAAAGGCTCCCCTTTTCGTGCTAAGTGTCATGAAATCTTCTGCTGCCCACTGAAGCAAGTCTCCCACAAAGAAAGCTCAGAGCTTGAAGGTTTGTGTGCAACACATCCGTGTTTTTCTTTACTTTGCTGATGCTTTTGTATCTTTTACTTAAGTTTAAGTTTCATTTGAACTTACTTTTGTTTTTTGCATTTTCTTAAAAGCATCTGGTTTGTGCATTTTCTGTTCCTGAGCCATATGTGCGTCTTGTAGATACTGCTTGAAGCCTGCGATGTTGAATGCCCTTAAGTACACACTCTCCTTTTCTCTGTGTGTGTGTGTGTGTGTGTGTGCTGAATGCAGACCTGTGCTTATGATTCTTCAGATCTGTATTCACCATTGATTACCCGATGATGTCAATCTGCCTCAGCTGAGGCTCCATACTTACATTTCGAGGCACCAATCAGGGCTCTACTCTCACATATTTTTTTCCAGGAACATTCATATCCAAGTTAAGATTTTATTAAATATATATGTGACCCTGGACCACAAAACCAGTCATAAGGGTTAATTTTTTGAAATTGAGATTTATACATAATCTGAAAGCTGAATAAATACGCTTTCCATTGATGTATGGTTTGTTAGGATAGGACAATATTTGGCCGAGATACAACTAGATTTGAAAATCTGGAATCTGAGGGTGCAAAAAAATAAAAATACAGAGAAAATCGCCTTTAAAGTTGTCCAAATGATATCCTTAGCAATGTATATTACAAATCTAAAATTAAGTTTTGATATATTTACAGTAGGACATTTACAAAATATCTTCATTAAACATGATCTTTACTTAATATCCTAATGATTTTTGGCATAAAAGAAAAATCAATAATTCTGACCCATACAATGTATTTTTGGCTATTGCTACAAATATACCCCAGCGACTTAAGGCTGGTTTTGTGATCCAGGGTCACATATGTATGAAATACATAACTTAACAAAGGGCATTAGACACTTTTCGGTAACACTTTCTATGAAGCCCGTATTTATAATACATTATCTGTTCTTATGAATATTCATGAGATGATACAACATATTATAAGGTTTTTTATAATGTATTATGCATTCATTATAATGCCTTAAGAATACCCTTATAATGTATTATAAATACGGGCTTCATAGAAAGTGTTACCCACTTTTCTGTTAATATTCTCCAGGTAACCTGACAGGCAACATTAAACAACAGCAGCCCTTCAAAACAAACGAAGAATTATTAGTAATACTTAATAATACCTTATATATATATATATATATATATATATAATAACTTATTATAACATTAGTCATGAATTATTCATACAAATCTGTAAAACTATTTTTTAAACTATAAAATTAATACAAATTTGAATGGATTTTAACTAATGATGTTATGTATTGCATTACATAAAATTATAACTATATCATATATTATTTAGCAAATGTTTTTAATGAAGGTTATTTCTAATTTTTCTTGAAAGTGTCTAAATGCTGTAAATTACAAATGAAATGACATGAAATCCATACTTTAGGCCTAAAAGTTATTTATACATGCATGAGTTGTAAAGGCATGGTTTATGAATGTTTAAATTATTTGACTAGACTAATTAATGTATCTTATTTTTATACTATAAAAATGCGGCCTATATGTACACTTTGTTACAGGAAGAAAACAACATCTAGACAAGTGCAATAACATAGTAGTCTTAAGGCACTTTTAGCCATGAGTTTTGATCAGGTGTACATGTGCGACTAAATACATTTTTACATTGACATTTAAATGACATGCTTTAGTGTAGAGCCCTGTAAATACAAAACATCCACACAATAAAGTCTGCCTTATATTGTAGCCCCTTGATCACTAACTCTTTAAATTGAGTGAATGAGTGGACGATGATGACAATTCACAAGCATGCCCTAATTCCTTCTATAGATCAAACTCCACCCCCTTACCATAAGCCCCTCCTCTTTAATAAAACAGCTTGTCTCTTTCTCCCTCTTCCCTCTGTGTATCTTTCTTTTCTTCTCTTTAGCCCTTCACTCATTTTCAGACATCCCTCTCCTCACACATCAGGTCTACATTAGATGAATATCTGTTTAACTGCTGCCTATCTGTTTCACAAATGATAATGTTTCTGCTTTCTAAGGGCTAGCTTGGACCATCTCTTTGTCTTTCTTTCCCATCAATCTGGCTCTTCCTGTCAGGTGTTTTCAGATGCATGAGGGTTGCTGATGTCGTTTGTACACAGGTCAGATGTCCTGGGTTGTTACGTGGTTCTGCATGCGGCTGAATGCTATATTGTCTTTATGTCGAGGGAATCTTGTAGAGTACTAAGATTGCCCAAACATGTTGTAAATGTGATTGTGAAGTGTTTTCTTTTCAGACTCTCAGATCACTGGGTAAGCCATCAGCAGTCACCTCAAGCCTAAATAAATAAAGTTAAACACAAATGCGCTCATCTCCGCCACTGTGCTGAATGTCATATGAATTGTTCATGCATCGCTGGATTGCAGCTCTAGATTGATGGATAATTTAGTTGTCATACAGTGCCATTGCTACTGACAAACATGTGCCTAATCAATTATTCAGTAATGGTTTATATTCACGGTCATTACTACCTAATTTCTGCGTCTTATATAGTTGTAGAGAGTCTCTGAGGAGCGAGAGTGTGCTGGGTGCAGGGAATCTTTTCCATGTCTGTTTGTGGTAATTTTTTATCTGTCTGGATCATGCTGCAAACGAGGACATGAGTGAAAAGAGAAGGAGGGGAAGGCTTATAAAGAGACAGACTGGAGTATTGCAGATCTATTATTCAGTCTGACTGAAGCTCTGCTTGGACGTGACTGAATTTGCAAAGAAAGTCATTGGTTTCTTATGAAATGTGTTCATAAGCAGCATTCCGTCAAGGGTGAAGGGAATCATTCACCTTAAAATGAAAATCTGTCATTATTTTCTCACCCTCATGTCATTCTGAATGCTTTCTTTTCTCAGTGGAACAAAAGAGGAGATGTTTAGAAGTTCACACTGCTCTTTACCATACAGTGAAAGTGATGGGGAACAGAGACCGTTAAATGGATAGTTCACTCAAAAATGAAAATTCTGTCATTAATTACTCACCTTCATGTCATTCCAAACCCAAGTCCTTCGTTTATCTTTGGTACACAAATTAAAATATTTTTGATGAAATCAGAGCTCTTTCTGTCCCTGCATAGACGGCAACTCAACTGAAATGTTCAAGGCCCAGAAAGGATGTAAGGACATTGTTAAAACAGTCCATGTGACATCAGTGGTTCAACCGTAATGTTATGAAGCTACGAGAATATTTTTGTGCACAAAGAAAACAAAAATAACTTTATTCAACAATTTCTTCTCTTCCATGTCAGTCTTCGACATGCGTTCATGAGAACTATTTTACCGATGTCTTTACTACCTTGCGGGGCCTTGAACGTGTCAGTTGCATCGCTGTCTATGCAGGGACAGAAAGCTCTCGGATTTCATCAAAAATATCTTAATTTGTGTTCAGAAAATGAACAAAGGGCTTAAGGGTTTGGAACGACATGAAGGTGAGTAATTAATGACAATTTTCATTTTTGGGTGAACTAACCCTTTAATCTTCTAAAATGACACAAAAGTACCAAATGTTGGCCATATAATATAAATGTAAAAAAAAAATTGGGGTACTATTTCAGGTTTATTTTCTTCAGAATTTCAAATTTTTGTGTTACTTCAGGCCATGTATTACTTGCGGGGGTTTTTTTTTTGTAATTGTTGGGGAGATTTACTAGCAATTTGTCAGGGATCTGGGAGGAGGACCCATTAGCAGATTGAGTGATGAGGATTTATTGACAAAACAGACTGGTACACATCATGTGATACACAGGTGATACAACATCAGGAACACCGTAAACAAAGAAACAGCTAGGGAAGACCAGTGGAACTGTCTCGGACAGCAACTGGCAGATTACAATAACAGCAGAAGGAGCGGCAAAACCAGGCAGATAGAGAGGGCCAAGCAAAGTAACAGAGCTGAACTCAGATACTTGTTGAATGCAGACTCTAAAGCGGACCAAGTACCAGGCAGGGAGAACCAGTGGCAGGACTCACAGGCACAGGTCAGGACGGGAACTCTTACACAAAGAAAAAAGACAGGATAAAGCTCCACAGTAACATAATTACTCCAAAACAGGCAGGGGGATAAATAAAACAAAAGAACTGATAAAAAGTAAAGGAACTAAATAAGAAATAACTACCAAATCTAACCAACACATCTAACTTAAAGAATATCAAACAAAAGTGCAAAACAAAAGATCAGGACTACAAGAACTGGATAAATAATAAAAGTGACAAAAGGCAAAAACAGACAAAATGCAAAAACAAGGAGCAAGACAAGGACATGGAACTACAAAGTACTAGACAAGACAAGGGCACAAGACCAACCAGGGAGACAAGAACACACCCTCAGCCACATCCACAGACAGCGAAAAAGACAGTGACAGAAGGGGTGAAAATGACCACGAACCGGTAAATACAATAGGGCAAGGGGCACTATAAATAGGGAGGAAAACACACGAGGAACAGGTGAGAGCAATTACACTAACAAGGACTCAAAGAGGGCTAACAAGAGGGTGTGGTAATGAGGAAACCAGGAGGAGGGGCTAGAGAAGCACATGGCTGAGAAAAACAATCAACTAGGCCATGTGCTGACACAAGACAACATAGACACAAGAAACAAACACAAGACAAACAGCGTGTCAGAGCAAAACCCTGACACAATTTCTGAGTGAAACTTGTTTCTACACCAATTTTCTTTTTCAGTGTATGACTTTATACCAAATCATATTCTTGAAAACCGTAGCAAAATTTTTCAGTCTACCTTTTTCAAATCTCACATAAATTAAAATGTGTTTTTTTAGTACAAACTACGTTTGTAGTACAAGCTACTTTTAAGATGCTTCTTGGAGCTTCAAACTTTCAATACCTTGTCACTATAAGCTTTCATGCAAAAGAGCAGCATGAACATCCTGCTAAACCTTTCCGTTTGTAATCCATGGAAAAATACAGGTTTGGAATGA